GAGAGAGAGAGAGAGAGAGAGAGAGAGAGAGAGAGCACCACACTAGCTACACCCTGCATTGGCGCCAAATTTGCAACCGCTTCTTAAAGGGGCAGAATCTCGCATTTAGCTGCTCTTACACACTCTTAGTTTGGCCCAGAACTTCGACCGCAGGTGATTGACAGGGCTTGCGCGGGCTGTTTAAACACGGTCAGCGCACAGCACATATTTAGCAACGCACCGGCGGCACACACGCGGATTATAGTAGCTTTTGCGCGGATGGTCCGCTGGAGCACTGGATCTGCTATATGCGCGGGATCTACTATAGCAGCACCCGTAAATGCTAGATTCTGTTCCTTTACGTTAGAGGCGTACCAAGGTTGTAATTACATGGCTACCAGAATATAACACAATTTCATACTCTTCCACACTACAATTCCTCTACACCCTGTGCCATGTGTTCCCCGTGCCAGAAGCTCCGGCGCTGCTGCTGGTGTCTTTACCACAACTGTCGCTCTCAACCTGAGCACGAATCGAAGTTAGGAAAACGATAAGAAATCAAGATTTGTTACGCAATTATCACTCGAAGTTGTTCATGATTCAGTCACACTATCTTGTATCATCTACATGCTTGTGTGGGAAAGAAGGTGAACATGCTCAACCCAGCGCTGTATACACCAGAGAAACGTGCTGCTCTCAACAACAAGCACATGCATGGACTGATTTGAACTAACTAATTAGGTTGGTTGCGTTTAATCAATCGGAAATTACTTGAAAAACACGTGGGAGCAAGTCACTCGTTGGGGTAAACCCATAAAATCCATAAAAACTATGCAGCAAATTTCGCGTTAACAGTAAATAAATGCATGCTCAGAATATATCGACATGCTCGGGGTAAAACTAGAATAGCTATTGAGTTAGTTTACGTTTTTTTGATTAGTTACGTTCATTTATATACTTAAAACGCAACGACAACGTTCATTTATCATGGGATTACAACATCGGAACAAAATATACGTGAGCTTAACATGTTCTCATGCTACAGCTTACCCTACTTGGCCCAGTATCATCGGATTGCTAAATAATACAAGAACATATTACGTAAAGACGATTAGAATCGAACTGAAACGCAATTATTCTTTTTTACATTATAGCTGCCTATACATGCACGACAGCTCACACAATGTCAAAAGCGTGATAACCAACTTCTCTTAGTACAGAGTATAGAGTAGAAAGAGAATATAGAGGTTCAGTAGTATAAAGGTTATAGTCGGCAGGTATTTAGTAATCTGGAATGGATGACGGAGCCAAATTGGAATCAAATATCCAGGAATGGAAGGAGGATTCGCGATTCACTCATTAAAATTTCATTTCGGTCGAGAATTTACGAGCAGTGTGTTACTTATAAGAAATCGCATAAAAATCAGATATGACTACATGTTTTTGTTATTAGACATAAACTTTTATCATTGCAACGAATTATACATCGACGCAAAGCGAATTGGCCCTGGCATCACATGTTGTGCACTAACTGTTCACTAACTGTGCGCGTTCGTTTTGCCGCATGCCAAACGCGACTTTGAGCCGCCCTTATCTATTGAGAATAATTTTACATTTAGTAATACACATAGCCGACATATTTAGTAACAAGTAACATTTATTTCGCGCTCGGAATATGTGATGCCAGTCTTTCATAATATTTTACATATTTGTGCACATATCTAGATATTTATGTACATATCACGTGCATGCGCAAATTTATAAAGCAATGACAGTAGTGTTTCTATTAGTCGACTGTACAAGGTCTGTGCAAATTTCTCTACGTCCGCCATTATTTTTAACTCCGCCAAGGAGGTAATGTAATCGGTCTCGTGTGTGTCCAGTCCGCACGGCGCGATCGATAGCGCGTCGAGTCAGCGAGCGGCGAGTGAGTCAGCAGCAACCACCAGTGAGCGGCGAGTCAGCAGCCGCCACCAACGAGCAGCGAGTCAGCAGCAGGCAAGTCAGTCAGCAGGAGCCAGCAGCGAGCGACGAGCCAGCTCGTAACACATACATGTTACATGCTGGCGGAGGTATGCACTCTCCGTGAGTGCCCTCTGTCTAGTTTATTTTCTGTATGAAGCTTCGAAATCCCAGAAATCCATAAAAATCTTTTTGATCTTGAGAAATTTCTATATTTGATGGAGCACACATTAAAGACGTAGATGTGACACGTACTGAAGTAGAATCATCAGTTTCGACTAACAAATCATTGATGAACGATAACGTATGCAGTTTACAGGAAATTCGTTAGTTTATGCAGATTTAATGCAAATATTATGTAGATTTAAGTGCGTCCGACCAAATTTTCGTCGAGGCATTACACGACCCACAGCCTTGAATCTAATATGAACACTCATGCGTCTACTGTCACTTTGCAGTGATGTCAATTGTCTAGTTGTCACTCGCTCGCCTGCTTGGTTCATTTTCTATACATGGGTTGCCACCATCAACAGTATGGGTTCATCAACTGTCACGGGACAATTATTAAGTTGGTCGTGTAGATCAGTGCAGTGCCTTGGCAGTGCCTTGGGTAGCATTGTAATAGCATAAAATAAAATGCCAGTCTGCTGGACACACCAGAGACGGGCATGCAATAAATGTGTAGGCGAAAGGCGAGCCGGAAACCACTATGAGAGACTGAGAAGTCACCAGATTTGTGATAGCATGGAATTGGCCACTGTTACAACTGATGATGTTGATAGCGATGCTTTGCAACTATAACAAATAATTATTACTAAGTGAATGAAATATGTAAGCATTAAACTTGTATTTCGTGAATAGAGAAGTGCATATATTCTACTAGTGACAAGGACTAGACTGAATATGCGTTAGGTAGCTAAATAACTGAAATTACAAACTAATGTAAAAGTATTCGAATAAAAAATTCGTAGTGAAATACAGTTAATACAGTGAGTAAAAATAAACATATAAGAACATAACACATATTTTATATAATTTATCTAAAATAACTCAACTATTTAAAACGAGCAAGAAAAATGGGCAATATTTCTAACAGAGAACAACAACAAATTGTTTACTCTTTAGCTAGTAATTTTCTAAAAGGCTAAATATAGGCACCTGATACGAAATGTCTGACTAGCTTATGCTAAATACTTTTGCTTCACATACAATATTAATATGTTATACAAGTATTGCATGGCTGCAAGGGAAACATGGAGTTTTGTGGACCTAGAAGATCAATGCTGTCGATAGTAACGTTAATTTTCGAGGGCAACAAAACCCAATGTTTGCTCGAACAACTTTCAAGATCATCACATAGTGTATGCACCAATAACAGTTTTAGTTTTTGTATTCCATGAAAACAAGCAGGAAACAGACATAGGAAAATTGTTTTATCTTCTGACAATTTCAAGCATGATCAATGACCATAAACTCTCACGTAACGCCCCTATTTTTCTCATTATTTTGAGCTGCCATCACACAACACTCAAAAACCGTTTTGAGCCAGATTCATCCCCCCGCATTACGAAGACTCGGCTTATGAAAACTCGCCCATGAGAATGAAACTTCACAATCACGACTCCCAATGGAATTCGAAACCCAGCACGTCAATTTACACTTACGGAACCTTTCAAAAGCATGACTGCTACTTTCTATAGCTATAGCTCCTCAATCTATGCCAATAAAATTTCCAAACACTCATTCGACAAGGCATCGAGTGGGTTAGCTTTGAACGATGACGGTGCACAGCTCACTAGACTCAGAGTAAACGTTAGTGTAGACATAACATAGTGTACGGGTCTCACGTGTTCCTGCAGTATGTCACCCCTTCACGCAATAGCTTATTGGATAACATACCAAACCGTTGGATAAATTTTTTGCTTCCCGAACAGAGCTTGAAGCTACTAAAAAAGAGGAAGACGCTTTACATAGTGTCCCTTACCTTTCTTTAACAGTAACTCTCATCTCACCAACGTCAAACTCAATTTCGTTTCCAGTGAACTAAATTCAAGTACTTTCTGTATCTACTACAATATCAGGCATCTCTATTATCCACTCCTGACCATATTACATCAATAAATAGGTCACTCATACTTGTGCTTGTCTTACATCGTTTAACTGAATAAAATTTTAAAGGAATGCATTTCCCACGATATAATGGAGGTCAATGGGAAAACATTCACGTTATTATATTTTGAGTTGCATACATTCTACAGGAACGCACTGCTTCCGTAACCCGGGATCACTATACCAAATATCTGAACGTAATTTCACACGACGAGTTTAATAGTAATGGTCTCACTTTATAATCACACACAAGATGCTCAAGCTCTGTGGAATCTTGTTATGAGACTGCCCAAAGAAAGTAAAATAACTACACAGATTACATAGACTACAGATGTTACCACAGATGGTACATGCTGCCAAGTAGATATGTAAATTCAACCAAAATAAACGCTAATACTCTCTCAATAAGAATGCAAAAAAAACACAATAACATTGTCAAAAAATATAAATTTACAAAAATAATATAAACATGGAAGCTACACATAGCATCCGAGGAATACATCTAGGTTACTTCACGTAATTGTTCTCACCTTTGCTTCCCCCTTTTCCCATTGCTCGCAGCTGACTTCACTGCTACGATCTTTCTTTACGGTGACTGGAGCATGAGATGTGATCACATTACACTTTTCGGAGTGTTGGGAGATTGTAGAGAAGGTCAGACCTGCAGGCGGAAGAATCGGGGTAATGTGCTCTAACCCTATTGCAGTATCTGTAGGAAGGAAAATTCATCGTATACTTTGTTACTTTAACGCGTGCATGCCAGGCAGAGAGGGGGAGAGAACGAGAGAGTGCAAGTGAGAGAGAGTGTGACCGAGAAAGTGAGAGAGAGAGACAGAGAAAGAGACAGTGAAATAGAGTGAAAAAGACAGAGACAGATAGAGAGAGACAGATATATATATATATATATATATATATGATATTATATATATATATATATGAGAAGAGAGAGAGAGAGAGAAGATGAAGAGAGGAGAGAGAAGAGAGCAGAGAGAGAGAGGAAGAGAGGAGGAGAGAGAGAGAGAGAGAGAGGCGAGAGTAGGGAGAGCGAGAGAGAGAGAGAGAGAGAGAGAGAGAAGAGAGAGAGAGAGAGAAGACGAGAAAGAGAGAGAGAGAGAGAGAGAGAGAGAGAGAGAGAGAGAGAGAGAGAGAGAGAGATGAGAGAGAGAGAGAGAGAGAGAGAGAGAAGAGAGAGAGATGAGAGAGAAGAGAGAGAGAGAGAGAGAGAGAGAGAGAGAGAGAGAGAAGAGAGAGAGAGAGAGAGAGAGAGAGAGAGAGAGAGAGAGAGAGAGGGAGGAGTAAGGAGGGAGGGCAAGGGGGAAGGGAGGAGGTAGGTGCTGTTAGAATCCTCCTCATGTAGGGACAGAGGAACCAGCAAGGTGTAAACAGGAGTGTACACGAATTGTGTACACCAAACTGCATGCATGCATAGACGAGTGGTATATTACTGTTTCTTCTAATGGCCTGAATATATACTAATGTATTACTTACTGAACAGTTCTAAACAATGACCAATAGCATTAGGGAGAGAAGGCCACAAGCAGCAATCAATGTGTATTAGCATCATCCCAATTACTAGGGTACATGTTTACCTAGATCTAACTCACTACAACTTGACTCAGTGAAACTCGGTGTTCCTTCTGTAAATGTAGGAGTACTGCCCTCAATAGAGTGGGGTGGCGTCAGCGTATCAAAGGTCACATGCCTTGCACAGTTGTACTCTGCTAAAAACAAAAAAGATGTGTGAGCCAAACCCTGAAATGTAGCTTGAAAAAAGATATTTCCATACCCACCCTACCCTCATATATGACATAGTGACTTTAATATTTTAATAAAGCTTATGGTCTATATTTAAAGAATCCTTCTGTAATCTGACATGAAACGAGTGATTTAGTAAGTAAATCCACGTATTGAAATTTTTCAAATTAGGGATCAATGAAATACAATTGATTCGTTTTGCTAATTTATCGATTATTATTTATACTAACATTTTAAATATCATTATAAAGGGTATAGGGTGCACTACAAGTTGATAGTTAAATATTTTTGATTGGTCACTGAGTACAAATTTAGGAGTCACAAGGTCATGTGCAGTAGGTGCAGAGGTAAATCTAGCGAACTTCAAGAGAAGAGAAATTCAATACAATTTTAAAACTAGCAGAGGATAATTGTAATATTGCCATCACAAAGAAAATACAAGTTGATGACGGTATAACACATTGCTCCAGCTGCTATGACCATCTCACCTTTCTAAAACAACATATTTGGTAGCCTTTACAAATAGCTCATAGGGCTCTTAAAAAACATCGATCTACTATCTCTTGTTATATAAAGAGAGCTGAAGAGAATGAGAGAGCAAACCTCTGCTGCGTGCTGGTGTTGAAGATGTGGATGACATGGAGATGGAGTGAGTGCTAACCAATGACACCACCACTTCATCATTCTTTCTAGTAGACGCTTCCTTGGCTGGCGTGCTCGTCTGTGCAACTGCCTCAGAGAAGGAAGGTGGGGGAGATGACGTGCCAGCCACTGCCACAAAGAAAACTAGCATGTAATTACACTGCATTATCTATAATAATAAATAAAACCAGTACATTGACACTGTCTATGAGACTGGCCATCATGACCATACATGTGTATACTAGGTCATTTGTACACAAAACAGACATGTTCATGCTATCATAGATATGAATGACATCAGAAGTGAATCAAAACAATTCAATGACATCCAGTTCTATCTTTACTAGAGAGATACATCTGTAAGTGTACGTGCACATGCGTACAGCTTTCTCCCCAGCCTCCTAAGCACAACGCGAGCATGGTATTGGCCCTCCTAGGCAGCCAGCACTTTGCTTTTGTTTTTGTCATTATTTTGTTTTTTATTCTCAATATTACTGCATGACGCTTGGTTAATTAGAAGGAAATATATACAGTTGGCATGATATGTTGGATCAACACATTATATATATCTCATTCAACAAATGTTTTGAACTATACAACCAGTGGATGCAGAGAAATCCCAAACCATACTAATTAACATCTAAAAAACGCCAAAGCAAACATGTTCTTAATTTTCCTCTATTTATATCATTAATCTTTACCATATACATACAAATAAACAAATACTGTAAAATCCTTTTTTTCGTGGGGTTCTAATTTTCGTGGATTTCGTGGGTCCATCAATCCACGAATTTATGTACCCAACGAAATATTATGTACATATGTCAATTGGGTTCCGGAGTGGAGGCCACAAATTTAAGAACACACGAACATGTATTTTTTATTGAAACCACGAAAATTGGAACCCACAAAAATAAGTGACTTTACAGTACTCAAGACACTCAAATAAAGCATAACTCGGTAACTCACTCATTTCTAAAAATGTCATGCAGAAACAATGAAGATGACATCAAATGCATGCAGCGCTGCCAATGAATAATAAAATTAACAACAAGAACAATGACGACGACATCAAATGCATGCTGCTGATGCAGTAACAACAATAATAACAATAACAACTAGCCACTATTAGCACTCCTGCCAAGGGTAGTATTATCACCATAGTAAAGATGTGGCATAAGATGCCATGTTGCATCCATAATGTTTCAACTACATAGTTCTATTCACGAGAATATCTTTTACCCAGTTTCCACGTTTTATGTGTGCTTATTTTACTACTCTGTTTACTTACCATTTACAGTAATATCACCCACATTCTTTGAAGTAGAACCATCTTCAGAGCTGGCATCATCTGTTACGCTCATCTGCCTCTTGCAAACAAGGCTCTTCCGTTTGGTTGGAGAATGTTTCAGTGCTGAAAAATACAGACGCACACACATTATTTAAAATAGGTCATTTTATACGTTTTTATATGAATGAAGTTTGCCGTTACGCAGCCATCAATCACATTTCATTTCACAATTGCATGCTGCAATTGGTAACTGAAAAGCTGTTTTACTGTAATAAAAATAAATTACTGAATATAATTAAATTACTGTATAATTAAATAATGCACTGTACATCTTTATGTAATTATCAGTCTGTGTAACTATAAATTTTGCAAAATCGGTCTTTCAAAAGTCATGTTCCAGGACACAAATTATCTGGGTTTGCATCACAGTTTGGAAGTTAATTTATGGCCCGTGTCAACCAACAAAACCGTGCATCACTATAACTGCAACTGGAAAAAAACTGCCGAAATATGGCTCATGAAACTCATGCAAACCTTTTTGCACTAAGCCACACATTCACACTAACACTTGTTATCAATTTCAATTTTGATCAGAATTGCCTCTATTATTTAAAAATTAGTTTATGCCTTGTGTACTAACACACGTCAGACCCTATACTAACACTGTTATCATATCTGCTACATCAGTTCTACAGATGGGAATAATGAACACAAAATGTAAAACAACAATGAAAAATTTAAGCAAGTGAATTTCTTGATCTAAAGCACATGGTGAGGTTCGTGCTGAGCACGGAGCGTGAGTTTCGTGCTCAGCAGGAATCTCACACCCCCGCACACGGTGAGATTCGTGCTGAGCACGGATCTTACGAGCTGGTGGCACTGTCTGGTGCACGGGTGCACGAAGCGGTCATTGGAGCGGGTGCATGGCTGAACCAATCAAAATGCGCTGCCACTGAGTTTCGTGCTCAGCAGGAGTCTCACACCCCCGCACACGCTGAGTTTTCAGCCTCATGAGACCAAAATTATCAAAGACGAAAGATATTTTCCTCAACGCCTCGTCTCACGAGACCGAAAACCCAGTGAAATCGACCCCACACACGGTGAGGTACCTGCTGAACACGAAACTCACGCTCCGTGCTCAGCACGAATCTCACCGTGTGCGGGGGCCTTAAGCTAACAGAAAATGTTAGTTTTCGAAATGTCCCGGTGGGGGAAGGCTTCTCTTCTTGGCTCATCGCCTATATTCGAAATGAGACATCTATGTGTTACAACAGAAGCAATAAAAACATTGAAATAACACCAATATTGAAACAAGCCAGTGAAATTATACTCTGCAGGAATGTAAATGTCTGCAGATTATCTGATATTCCTTCGTGAAGAAATGAATACTTGCTATAGGCAACTGTTTTTTTGTTTGTGGTATTCTGTGGTGGCGGAACTATATCATAACAGCAATACAGAGGGGGGGGGGTTGACATTAGGAAAACAATGAGTTATCACAAAGATGTTTCTCAACCTATTTACAATATTTGCATAGTCACAGTTTAAAGTTCAATGAGACTTCCTCGAAGGTACCCAACACTTGAATACAATATATAATATCAAGAGTAGATAATATAACCATATAACTACTAAGTTATTATCTACTCTTGATAATATGTAAATAAAGTATCAACTTAATGCTAAATCTCATACATATCAAGAGTTTTATCATCGTTATCATGTATATACTGACTTACTTATTCAGATATACCTAAATTCGCTATGCATAGGCAAATGCTATATAAATAGTCAAGTAGAGCAAATTGCCACCGAAATAAATCATGCGATACACATATAGGCATGCAAAAACCATACAGGAAACAACTGATCTCCAGAGTCCATGACCACTAAAGAGATGTTTTGGGTTTTTAAACATTTTACACATTTTTATACCTATATACAAACCATATGAGGCTTTACATCGATAAACTACTTCGCTCTCAGATTTCACTATAAAGAAACTGACCCAACATTCAATATGAGATATAGATGTGAATAACATATTAATACATAGTGAACTAGAGCACTCGGAGAGTGCAGACCTCCGCTAAGGCAGCTGAATTCTCTCACTGTGAAAATTTTTATTAATTAATTAATTAATTAAATAATTAATTGGATCCGGATCACCACCAAAATGTAATAAATTCTAAGTTAGCCCATTTCTGACCTATCCTGAAATTTTATTAATTAATTAATTAATTAATTAATTGGATCCGGATCACCACCAAAATCTAATCAGTTCTAAGTTAGCCCATTTCTGACCTATCCAGAAAATTTTATGACAATCCGTCCATAACTTTTTAGGTTAGGCTGCTGTACACAAAGAACGGTGTTACAAACCAAATGAAAGTGTCAATGACACTGTAGCTCACCACAAAAAAGGACACAAATGAGTGAGTAAGAAGAAGTCCAGTTTATAATTGAGCAACCATCGACGTACATTATAGAAACGATGCCATCTGATATCGCAATAATAATTTATAAACCAAAATGAATCACAATTTGTGACCGTAGATGGCGCTATAACCGCTTTGTAGTGATGGCGCTTGAAATAAATAGGATTTATGCGTTCCAACATGTTTTGTAAATTCTTACTCTAATATAGACGTTTTATCGGCAGAGTGGAGAGGAAATGCAAATTTTGCATTAAAGATATTGTCAATGAAATCTTGTAAAACGAACCAGACGAGTGTGACACCACAGACTGTTTGTGTTTATATAATATGCTATATAATTGCCAACCCTACCGAATTTGCATAATTTTTTTAAATATCAAAACCCTAGCCCTTATTCATTCACATACCAAAAATGAGCAAAATCCGTTGAACCTGAACTGACTAATGGCAATTCCCATTTTTGCCAAAAATTGCCGTGGCTCGAAAGTACGTCGACTGGCGTGCTTCAAAATAGGACGTTCCATATGGAGCATAGCAGTAACAACTACACCCAATTTCAAACATGTGGGTCAAACCTGTTCCTGATGTATCGTTGACCGAAACCAAATGTTGACGGACGGACGGACGGACGGACGTACGACGGACGACAACCCATGGCAATAGCTCAACTTGACGATGTCAAGGTGAGCTAAAATCGCACGCCGATGAAAACATAACCTCCTGCCAACCCCTTGACGGAGGTAAAAATACTCACACAGTACAATTACACGTACAGAAACTTTACATACACGGACACATGCACGCACGCAGGCACACAGGTAGGTAGGCACACAAACACACACATGTTTTACAGTTTACAGACAGATAGGAAACTTAAAACAGAACACGGGAAGGAAGGTTGTGTGATGACACAAATTTGCAAATAAACGGTCATGTGTAGTCACGTTTCACATAGGAATGCAATGGAATATCGATAAGACATTGACCAGAGATGGGAAAAATCCTGGAAAGTTTCATCACGAATTTGAATATCACCTTTCCCAATTGGAACTTACACATAAAATAGATTCTGAAAGTCACCGGTGTGACAATTAAGGCAGATATGGAGCATCCGTATTATTTAATATGTAGATTATTCATCATGGTATTATTAAATTGAGTTATGTGCGACATTGAGCAGTCCCAGAAATTTCTTAAATGACGTAGTATCATAATCGTGGCTGTTGAACAAAAGTCAGCCGAATGACACCAAGACTGTACTTTGCAGGAGTGATAATGTTAATAATTTTAATAAGATATCACTTGAAATTACTGGCAGTAATGCCATAATTAACATTTCTAGCAGTCATGGTAGTTGTTTCAAGCAGTGTATTTGCATTAATTGTATCTAAAAGAGACTAAAATAAATGCAGAATAAAAAAAACTGTTCTTACGGAGAACGGGAGAACGTTGCCAAGTTTAACAGCTTCATGCAGGATAGATAGATGTGAATTTATTCCTTTTCCTGTGGGCCACGATGAAAAAAACATGCACGTGCATGCCAACTGAGCTGAAGCTTGCAAGCAAAGCAAACATAGGAGATTTTCTTCTTGGGTACTCATCTGAACTATGGTAAAAAATCACATTTTTATTGCTGAAGTAAGTTTTACCTAGATGGACAAGCTTTCTGAACATACGGTGTGGTCCTTTATACTCTGGTTGGTCGACTGTAAGTGACACATTATACAAGCAGCATGAACAAATGAACAACACACAGAGAAGCAATTAACACGTAGTTATACAAACATCTACTATGTATTAGTAGGCTGAACCTGGCTGGATAAGGTCAGATTGTTTAGGCACAACACTTTTCAGCAAGATAGAGATGTGCTATATTTATGCATTCCCATGCTTATGTATTGTATCGAGTCAACCCTGGTTCACTCCGAAAACAACGAAGAATCTAATATTGCTTGCGCACAGTGATTAAAGCTTTGGTCTAGGAATGTCTCCAATATTTCCTCAAATTGGACCATCTATCACGTTAGATGGACAAAACTAAAACATTACCTCGAATTATTGCCAAGGCATATTCGTACATTTTTGCACACAGATCTTCCAACACTTGCACAACCAATAACTTAAACACAGCATGAAATAATTGCTGAAAGGGGGACAGCATACGATAATGTTACGAATCCAATTCAGCATGCAACAGGTATGGTCAGTCGATGCAAGTTGATACCTGCAGACAACTTACGTGACTGGATCTTTTTGAAAACTCTTTCAAGCATAAATGTCAGAAATCTCTGTGCGTAGAATCCGGGCCGGTGTACAGACACAGCATCCTGCCCACAAACACACGAGTGGATTTTTCAGATTAAAATAGCAAAGCAATCGTCCTTTTTTGAATTAAACAAGTAGCTGACATTCTGGCAAGATGTGCATCTTAAGAGAGCCCCGTTATAAGTTATATTTATTGATGCAAGTCCAAGGATTCATTACCATCAAAAACGAATGGACAAGTTATTCTACTTTGAAGTGTTAAAGATATAGCACATTTAAATAAGTTTAACGTTTGTTTGGGCAACTGAGCTTTCTTATTCCTGATGTCATCGACTGGGGGAAATTAACGTTTTATCAACGAAATCCTGTGGATTTGCTGCCCTAAAGAAATAGGGAATCTGCTGTATCAATTTCAACACTAAGGAACAATAATGAATATACAATAACTACAAAACCTTCATATTATCTGCTATCTATCACCAGACAATACAAGATAAAAATACTGAAAATAATACAGTCTGATCTTGTGTATTGTATTGCAATATTTTGTTATATCATTGATAGTCATATTGTATATATTCATACAAAATTTTGTATTATGACAAAAAACTACTGTCACTTTAGTACGGGCACTATATAATTACACCACTCACAACTACGAATGACAAATACATGACAATTTAATACTTTAATTTCATAAACTAAAATCCAAGGACGTTATTCCAATCAATATACAACCTACTATCATGGTTTTCCGGGAACCAATTATCACGCTAATATGAGATCCAGTTGTATTATGTTCAATCCTTTTACATTTGTTGTTACTACATAGCAGAATGTTTAGAAATTCTCACTTCTGACTCCTGCTGATCTCGTATAAGAGCATCAGACAGTGAAATAGGTCGTTTTAGAAGTGGCAATAATTTCGGCCCCTACAACCGTGTGATGGAGGTATCAGCAGATTACACACACGCACACATACACACAACTCACTCCACACACAACACACAAAAGCACAGATAGCCAGGCACACATTATATTCCGTTGTCAATACCATGTGCAGAATGAGCGACTGCATAGATCTATAACAACGTCTTGCTATAAGCAAGAACCGACAGCTCAACTACGCGTCTGATATTGGAACTATAAGCAGATAGACATGCGTGTTGGGAAAGCACCAACGAAGTAATTTGTGTGAGTAGAACTGCAGGTTTTCAGTAGTGATAAGTTTGTTATGACAAGTAACAGACAGACATATAAAATACCTACACCATCGTGAACCATCGCCTTGAATGTGTGCTCCAGCTTTTTCCTAAACCTGTATTGCTGTAGAATATCTATAAGCCCAACAAATAGAAGTAGCCTCTCTCCTTTGGAATTTCTTGCTGGGATGCCTCCCTTCCTAGAGTTGTGAAAAACACATGTAAACAAACAGAAACATTCATAACTTCCCAACAGAAACAGTAACATACGTAGACGTCTCTGTATCTACACGAAGCCCTGCAACAATATTTTCTAAGACTAATTTGGAATTTTCAGTTAATTCAGAAATACCTACCCGAATTGTGAATTGGTGGAATTAACTTCACAGAGCTGACTGGGATATACTAGATTTTTATCACTGTTACTGTAATTTTTTTTACTATTTTGTGGGTTTCCACTATCTTACTTACTTTAAAAAGACCTCTAGGTGACTTTACCCACTTGTTTTAACTTCCACCCAATACCATAAATATGCTTTTGGTAACAATGAAGAGCTTAAAATAGTATATAAAACATATAAACTTGCTTACAAGTTTTGAAAGTGGTAGGTTTGAGCACCTGCTAGAGAGTACGTGTTAATTATTAATTAATAAAACTGTACGCAATGTTACCTGCTGATGATTTTACCTGCTAATACGAAAGGTCCTGAGGACAAACAGATTTTGCAAGAACTATTTTAGAGGAAAAGTGACACTTTAGTTCATTTTCATTTTTTACATCTATCTCGAACACTACCTCTATACCTACCACTACAACAACCATATTCATCACCCCTACATCTCTCCCTAACAAATTCTAGAGAAGTCTAGACATTATACTCACGGAACGTCATCATGATCGTCCAGGTCGACTGGCTCGGCATCCGCTTGTATGGACTCCATGGCTGTGGAATAAGCTGATATTCTCTCTCGACGCACAGACTTTGACCTTTCACAGAACAAACGAAATTACTAGACAAATTGATTACACAAACTGCCCGTATAGGTGAACGATTCGAAAGAAATCAAGTGAAGAGAGAATTCATAACAATTGGATTAAGAATGCAGTAATAATGATAAAATGTTGCACAATTTACTAGATACAAAACTTTAAATTTCCTACTCTTCCTTTGCAAGAGCATATAAAAGAAGAAAAACATACTTGCTATTGAACCATAAGAAATACCTAGATAAATGACTAGATGATACTGCACTTTCACTGTCATCTCCATGCTCAGTAGAGTTTCCCGCCTCTTGCATAGTTTTACTTTTGGCTGCTTGTTCACTCTGCCTACACTGCTGTTGTTGAAAACACATAAGCTCTTCAACAAAAACAAGAAGTTGCAAACAATACTCAGATGACAGATATATCCAAGGGGATGGTGGTGAGCCAAGGAATAATAAACTGTTAAGTATTATTTTTGTCTTTGTCTTTATCGCATTTCTTAAATAAATATTTAATGAGTTGCACTTAAGAAAACAAAGTAAATGCAAAATCGGCATTGCTATGAACTACTAGTACTGATACTAGATTGCACTAAAAGACTTCACTGTATAACTTTGTGCCCTTAATTCACATCCAGCAAAAGTATAGCCATATAATAGCCCCATATAGTCAGTGCTCAATGCCTTGAAAAATAACAAATCGTGGTTTAAATATGCTGTGAGAAGGGTGACTGAAAACCCTTAATCTTCAGATAAATAAAAAAAAGTGTGTGTTATGCTGTTTAGAATTAGGTTACAAAATAAAGGTAATAAAAATATTTACCTTCTCCTTAGCTGCCAAATCCAAGTTATGGATACCAACCAGAAGACTGTAGTCCATTATCTTGAAGCTTTCTAAAACCTGTATTAAACAAATATTTTTTTAATATACCAGGCAAGATACAAGTTCTAGACAATGACGGTGGCCCTTTTATATAATGGTGGTCAGAAATTTAATCAAAACTAATTGGTGTACAAACTGCCAAATTCAGAAGTGATTACAGGGAACTGCATGACATCTTAAGCGGGTACATGCATATTGTTGCTGGTACTGAGCTAACAGCCGCTCATAGGGTCTATGTCCCCCAGGGTACTGCCGGAACGTACCCTGGGTACGGTCCGGTATACCGGAACGTACCCTGGTAACTATCTGATATGGTTAAGGTTAGGGTAAGGGTTAGGGTTAGGGTTAGGGTTAGGGTTAGGGTTAGGGTTAGGGTTAGGGTTAGGGTTAGGGTTAGGATTAGTGTTAGGGTTAGGGAGTAGGCGTAGGCGACTCCCTATACTCGTTAGTGGAGTAGGCGAGGTACGGTCCGGCATATTAGATAGTACCAGCAGAGCATATAAATCACGTTGATTTATATGCTCTGGTACCAGGGTACGTTCCGGTATACCGGACCGTACCCAGGGTACGTCCTGGCAGTACCCTGGGGGACAGAGACCCTCTCAGCCTAACAGCCTGCCACCCACTGGCACATTCAGGAGAGTTCACCACCACTTTGTTGATGAGTCAGCCACTATAAAATGCTGTGCCCAACTCTCCTTCAATCTGGCTGTGCTCAGGAAATTTCCCCCATGTATTCGTTTTGCAAACACGTTGAAAATGCTATGTCCAAAATGTCCGTAGTCGACTGTATTAGTCACGATTAAGCGTATGAGTACCCAAGTTTTGTCCAAAGTTCGTAAATACTCTGCAAGTTTAACTTTATGTGAGGTCTGCCTCTCTATTTGTGATAACAATGTGGTTGCCCTCTTGGTCAAACCCATTAAGAGCTTTTGGCAGAAACTTAAACAACACTGCCTTGTTACTGCCTTATTACTGCCTACTCTGAGGGAGATATGCCAGGGCTCCAGTATGGTTGCTGCACTCACCACAAGCCTGAAATTTGGAACTTATCACAAAATGAAATGTGGTAAAGGGAAAGGCCATATATATATATAGGCTATATATATAATAGGTTCAAATCCCATACCTACCCTACAATCCCTCTGTAGTGTTTTGATGAGTGCATCGCACGTGTCCTTCTCGAGAAATAAGCCTTCAGGATGCTCATCCATAAAATCCAAGTCTTTTAACGCCGGACCACGTTTTAGGCGCTCCTGTTTTGATGCCTAAACAGCCATATATACATACAGGTTTTCGCTGTTCTATCAGAATAGAGGAAATAAATGGAATCCATTCTTCTTTCCTTTTTTGACCAAAAATACCAAAGCCAGTAACATTATTTTATCAATTCCATGTGCATTAATCTATGTATACAATTTGTGATAACACTGACAAGTCTTTTTAGACAAAGGGTATCAGTGATTATTACAGATCAAACCACTCAAAATGTCTGCAGAAACTCAATACCACGAGCTTCATAGTGCACATGCATTAGCAGGGATGGAATTTTCGAGCAACGTCAATGCTGTTTTGGGATGGCTCAAGATATTTTAGGGTGACACAGCATGGCAAAGGCGCACCAATGCAAACATTGCCTTCAACGGATGGGCACTGGCATATATTAAGCCTTGTACTACAAATTATGCTGTGGCACGTGATGATTTATATGCAACATGAAATTTATAGAAGCAGTGCAGTGGCAAACAAGGTACGATAGCCATCGAGATCACACAACTTTCAAGCACAACTACAAGTAGGAAAAAATACAAAAGTACCTGCCCTATTTACTATGGTAACATTTGAACCCTGCACCCTTAGCACTAAAATCTCCAATGAACACACCTTTCGCTTATAAGTGCTGCCCTTAAGATCATAGCGTTCATGAATTCGGATGTAGGTTGGCAGCAAGTTATTCATGACAAGCAGCCGAATGTTTTTGCCTCCACATTGATAGCAGTACAGACCGAAAGTCTTTGGTAGCAGCGTGCGTGGATTTTGGTTCAGATTCTGAAGAAATAAGATTTCATGTAATTTTTTTCACACAGTTATTATTTATATGTAATTAATTATAACAAGAGCCGCAGAGCGTCTGGGCTCATCTGAGGTCTGTTGCTACGGTTATAAACGTAACATTTAAGTCGTGCGTAGTGACACCTTTGTTAGGCTTCCTATACCTTAAGTTAAGGGGAAAATATTCCCCCTCCGTTTACACATCTTGACCTTTGACCCTTGACCCCCAAATTTGTCATCCCGAGTCCTTTTCATGATCTCCTTCAACGTCCCGAATATCGTGACCGTACGTCGAGCGGTTAAGATTTGTGCCCAACTGTTGACGGACGCACGGACGACCAGATGCACGGAAAATTATGCGATTCTATAAGCTGCACCTGACTACGTCAGATGAGCTCAAAATCGGTGTTATGAAGTTTTGCACGTTAAATGCATTCAAATTTGTACGTAGGATTGATCCTTCTCCAATTAGTTGTCATGTGCAGTTAATTACCAAGGTCCTGTTTTTTTCATAAGTTAGCTTGCTGCTACAGTGCATTTCTGCTAAATGATGTAGTTATTCTTGCAGAATAACACTAGCACTGAGTGTTATCACAGTAGTAATTATAGTCACAACTCTACTGTTTCAGACAACGGTCCCATAATTTCCAAACGTGCCAGCACTTAATGAACATGACGGTAAATCCTTTCTGTTCTCGCATTGATAGCGCATCAAATTCGCTTCGTAAGGAGACATGATTTCACTTTTTCATGACAAATAATTAGTGTAATATTATAGTCCAAGTTTATTCAGTCAATAAGAGGGGCAGCACAAGCAGATTACAACAGCTGTAAATTTACAAAAAACACCTCTCATTAGCTTATTTATAATGTGTGCTAAAAAACAATTTTTTATCCATGAATAGGTGGACCTGGACAACAACAACAAATTTTAGTGTAGAAAATATTTATCTGGTGCAGTAACATTATAAGACATGAGAGCTACTGGAAATGATAGATTTGGTCTCTGGGGCCTCTCATATGTTTTTATGTGGCCCTCAAAAATAAGCGCCACTTAACTGTGCTCACAAACAGTAGAATTACCCTATATTTGAAAGCTCTTTGCAAACACACAGACTGGTCTTCAGTATAAAATTTTTAACTCAGATTACAGTTAATGGATTAATTTACAAAGATTTCAACTTTGAAGAAAAAGTCCTTTTTACTTTTCTCAACACATGGTTCCAAAGATAGCTCTAGCCCACGTGTAACGTCAGTCACAAAAAACATCAATTTATTTTGCTGCTAAGCCTTCCTTCATGGTCTAGATGTGTCTTTTACTAGACGGTATGAATAACTCATTCATAGCAAACAAAACACCAGTTCGACTATTTGTGCTGACAGGGCAGGGGCTGAAATCTGTAACGTCAGTCACATATAACGTCAGTCACAGTTTCATCTGAAGTTAAGTGGCAGAATCAGCATTTAAATAAAGCCATAGTAATAATCTTCTACACCAAGGACACAATTAAGAAGCGGCTGGAGGTACCAATTCCTGTAAACAGACGTGGATTATACAAATTCCCAGATTTTCCACAGTGAGTTTCCTACTCATGATGGTAACTGCCACCTGGACTCCAACGACATCTCTGGACTTGGAGAAAGTAGAAAGTTCTGACAATGATTTCATATTTACATAGATTAATTAGGAATTGTTTACCATTTGCGACATTCCATAATTTGGCAGTCAGCATACATGTTCATATCCTAGATTAGATGTTTCATTTTTCTATGTGTGCATCGTGATATCCGAAGGACAATTATTGGATTTATATTGCTTGTCATTCACAATTAATATTTGTTGCTCTCAAACACGCTGACATAGGTACATCTGTGTACAAACAAGTATGTTGTCATTTAGATTAGAATAATAGAATTGTTGACAATTCAATTAATATTTGTGGTACATGAAAACTCCATATTGTTTAGAACTCTTATCTTACCCTACTGAGCCAAGATGACAGCATAGATATATGAAAGGTGTTGGCTTGCGGACTGTTTATTGTAAGTGAACAAATCGTAACGTCAGTCACAGTAACGTCAGTCACACTATATTTATGTACATTACTGGAAAAATAAACAATATTTTTTTTGTTTTTATTCTGTGTATTTTAGTGTGATATGGTCTTGTATTTGGCATAAGCAACAATTTTTTGTACATCCAGTAGTTTGAAGACAATTTTGAATCAAAGTTGACTAATTTTTTTGCATGTCCATTTTTCGTAACGTCAGTCACGCTCCAAACTTCCACCTCAACACAAAAGAAGCACAGAGCTAATGATGAATTGACAATACTTCCATGTCTAGCAAGGGCCAAATATAGCTAGCCACAAAACTTGCAGCTAAATAATTAATGGCATTGGCAGCTGTACAATAATTCATTTTCATATAACCTCAAATTTGTAACGTCAGTCACGATGGAATTGCCCAAAAGTTGATATACCACAATGAAAAAAAGGTAAATGAATATACCGTAAAAAGCTATTGTATGACTGCCTTAGATTAAGTTATTTAACAAATCGTTATTAACAAGATAATGAGCAACTGCTTGCATGGTCAGGTGAGAAGGGAATAGGACCATCACCACAAACCTCAGTTCCTATCTTTCATCTGTCACAAATAACATACCATGTAATAGCCGGGAAGTAACTCTTGAAGGAATTCAGCCTCCTTGTGTTGAACTGTCTTTACAACAAACTCATCATCATTAGTAATGTAGAAGATGCTGCCACTTGCTCCCGGGTTGGACAGCGCGCGTAACGGCTCATTACATAGCGATGACTGCACAGAAAATATGGAAAAGGATGTTATATATTATCCCTAAAAAGTACCATTTATTGATGTATAGTCCAAATTTGTATAATCACCTATAACTATGAGAAATACAATGTAACGTGAAACTGTACCACCATTTTTGTGATCACATTGCATAGCAATGCACCTACTATTACGATATCATATTACAATTTGACCTAAGTTGGTTTAACTCATCTAATTTGATAATTACTTCTGTAGTGTATTTTTATTCTTATCATTGTTAATTAGTTGAAACTTTAATTGTTTGCTAACTGCTTCAATGGGATAATATCGATTGTGATGTGCATTCTCATAAGGAGTAGGGCAGCTTAACGAAGGATTCGGATTTAGATATGGGATTTTTTATAGTCAAATGTACTTATAATTACACGTTACACAACTAAAAAAACTCAAACTTACGGCATAGTCATCTGGTGTGATACCAAATAAAGCTCTAAAGTATCTAAATGCCATTGGTGCATATGTCTTGAAATGAAATTCGCTGCACTTGTGGGCTGGAGTACGGTTTCCACCATCACTGTAATAAATAAATGATCAAAACTTTTTAAATGTTGTTTTGGGAAATAAATTACAAATATTCCCTTCCCCTTCACTGACCATATAACATCGAACTCTAGTTTTGAACTAGCTCCATCTTTTAAGATTGCACCCCCACATACCAAATATAAATGTCGTAGCTAGACCTGAGTATACTGAATATGACAAAAGCATTAAAAACGAATACTGATGAAATGAATGTGGCTATTACCTGGGAAAGAAGATTGTTTCTACAACCTGAAAGTCTTGCATTAAAAGATCACGCTCGGGTTTTCGAGCTGTGCCGCTAGTAGAGTATCGAATACCCATTTCTATACTCTCTATTATCTGAGAGTTGCCCACCTAAAAGTAAATTTCACAATACAATATGGGTCCTAAAAGAATGAAACATGCTGAAAATGTTACTATATATACACTGTAGTGAATTGTCAGCCACTCAACATAGCCAGTGATCACGGATTGTGAATGCCTCAAGTGGTTTCCGCCTGACTACATTGGCCATTCTGTGAAGTACAATCTCAATTTCTGAATGATAATCAAAATGACACAATTCTCAATCAAATAACCATGGCTGCGATAAACACAACTGTGCAGGTAGATATAAAATTCAAAAATTGGAACAGTTCCCAACCTGCCATCTGAGGAACGTTGGGGTTGATCTTGGTGTCAAAGTGGGGTAATGATGATGGCTCTAGTTATCATGAACCAACATGGAAGACATGAAAACCAAAATGTTTGTAAAATTTACATTATATTAGCCTACTACAAACAAACCTTTTTGTACGACACTTGACCAGAGGAATCAACTCTTCTGTGACCAATCTTTCTCTCACGATCTCCCCGGAAGCTGGCATGACTTCTGAGAGTAGAGGATGACTTCTGTCCTGCACCTATTAGGATGATATCAATATCATATGTAACAATGCGTGAGCCAGGATGCGATAGAGTGACATCTCATGTTCTCTTTTCAAAGTCGATAATCAAGACTGGTTAATGGCCACGCTATATCCACCAACGGTTGGTAAGAAATGACATGTCATACCAACCAACAAAATTATTACTAGAAATCTACCAACCGGTCTACATGAAGATTTTTCTTTCTGCGCTACATGGCGAGTTTGAAGTAACCCTGTCATATCTTCATTTGATCTAACACATGATATGTGATATAGCATGTGAAGTGCTTTACGGTGTAGGTAAGATGAGAGGCACTATGTTAGTGTCAAAATGATCAGAAACAGTCAAACAAAATTAAAGCTCAACAATTAAGTGCCACGGAGTGACAGCGCTCATCTCACGTACTCTGTGGTGGAGCGGCGTGATTCTAGTAAACCCTGTTAGTCCCAAATGTGTTCACATACACGCCGAAACAGTGGAAGGCACAGGGATGGTATCAGGAACCTTCTCAAAGGAATGTTCGTTGGGATCGTTATGTTGGGAATGGGAAAGTTGCCACGAGATGGCGCGTACGTTTAAGTGTCTTAAGATTCAAGATGGAAGCTCCCATCGTACGTAGTAGCAACAACTATTTGCAAGACAGAAAAGGTAAGCACTCATCCATTTACCTACGCAAGCCTACAGGCTGAAATAGAGAGATGCCACCTGTAACTAATTAACGCAGTAAAAAACTACACAGTAATATCACCACCACATTGCACTGCAGCTGGCCAATGGCAGTGCGACGTTACATGTCTACACACTGCACAATACAGAATTGCGCATAAAAAGAATAAATTATAAACGACATTAAGAGCATAAAATCTAACCAAATTTAGCTTTGAAAATTTCACCATGAAATGTAGCTCATACATCCAGGCATGTATAATCTCTACTAGCAAACCCGGCAGTCAAATGTCTTTCTAACAGAACAGTAAACAAATCCAATGTTTATACCCTCCCTATCTGAAGGGATCCAACAAGCCGTTACCCACACACACATTAACAATTCGCAAAGCTGATCAGCAGCAAAGCTACATTATCTCTGGTCCTTTCGAATAAAGCCATAAAATGCTAGCAGTCACCGCTGAAAAATAAAAGTTTTTCAAATCGTTCAGACGACTGTTCTCAGAAATATGTATAAAATCTGCCCTGTGCCCCAATTGACCTTGACTAGTGACCTCCAATTTCGGCACAGTGATGGCTTTCTGCTACCAATGATGCTCATACAACCGACTATCACGGAGCCTAATTGCACCGTTAAATAATTGTGGCCGCAATCGCAATTTTCCTGCCCTATACTTAAGGTAACGAGGAGCGGGAATGTTCCCACCCTATCTTACTATACACCATCTTGACCATTTGAACCTTAATGCCACCCCCAGCTTCGACATCATCCACAACGTCGTCATTCGGATTGCCCCCCCCCCCGCCCCGTCCCGAATATCGGTGAGCCGACGTCAGCGCGTTAAGATTCTGTGCCAACTGTTGACGGACGGAGGACGGACGGACGATCATGCGATTCTACAAAGCTGCATCTGACTACGTCAGATGAGCTAAAAAGTTTTTCAATCGCTCCGTCAGACCATGTCCTCAGAAAATGTCTAAAATCTGCCCTGTGCGCCCATTGACCTTTGACCTCGTGGACCTCCAATTTCGGCCACAGTGATGGCTTTTCCTACCATGATGCTATACACACGACTATCTACGAGCCTAGGTCAAGCCGTTTAGATTTGTGCCGCAATCTTGCATTTCCTCCCTATACCTTAAGTTAAGGAGGGAATGTTCCCCCTTCTTTTACACCTGTTGACCGTTGACCTTTGACCCCCAGCTTCGACATCCCAACTCGTTTTTGACAATCCCCCCGACATCCAGAATATCGTGACCGTACGTCAAGCGGGTCAGATTTGTGCCCAACTGTTGACGCACGGCCGGACGGACCGCACGGACGCACGCACGCTCATGCGATTCTACAAGCTGCATCTGACTACGTCAGATGAGCTAAAAATTAATGTTTAGAGTTTACATAATTATATTCCACATGATAGAGGATTAAAAATTAAAAGAGCAGATTGTAAAAAATCCTGGGCCCAATTCATTGGTCTAAACTATTACAATTAAACAAAGAGCACTTAAGTGTTCTCTGAAAAAAACATTAATTAAGAAAGAACAACTTTTCTGAAATGAGCAACATGAATAGGTAGATGCTTGGCATAGTTATTTTAAAAGGCAAGAGCTGAACCATGGCCTTCATAATTCTCTAGGCAAAATCATTCAGAACCAACAAACTGTTCTCTAGCATGGTCCCTAAATTGTTTTAGCACATCATAGCTAGGGGTGCAACGGAACTTGGATCCGGCCGGATCCCCAATTTTTCAAAGTCCGGTTCCGTCGGATACCTTCAGGAACAGTCGGCCGAACCGGAACTTTTTCCTAATTCATTTCTGCTACAAGCGTCATCAGATCAAAAGATCAGTCACTGAATGTAGTTGAGCGTCAATAGAGTCAACTTGCTGACAATATAGTGTCAACAACTTCACACTATTCTGCCAGAAAACGCTTTGCCACTTGAACATCGGCTAACTAACTGAACTGAAACTGATGTTAGGTGATTCACGAGATTTTCTTTTAAAATAAAATACTCTTTTAGAGCCACAAGAATGGCATCTGTTTGTTAGTTGAAAATAATCGACTAAAACCAGGGATATTGCAACATGCAGGTTTTGCCACACAATTCGCTCGCGAATAAGATGCCAGAATTATGCACTGTTAAGTGCAAGCAGATGATTCCTAACAACCATCCTGTAATTAGAACTTTGTAGCATTGAGAACAATAAGAACAATGTAGAATGTGAACATGTAGACAATAAGAACATGTATATAATGAGAACATGAGACATGAGAACATGAGAAGATGAGAAGATGAGAACATGTGACATAATGAGAACATGAGACATAATGAGAACATGTTTGAGCATTGTCCTACTCGCCTGAGTGATGTGCCTGAATCATAGCTCTCATCATTTCTCATCAGTATAACACTTTGCAGGGGTATAAATTAACTTTTGAACAAGGGAGTCCAACGGACCAAAAAAAGAGGGAGTCCGCAGCAAAATGAGGGAGTCCGCACTCTGAGGTTCAAAATTAAAGATATTAACAATTCCGCATGTGCTTATTTTTAAGATTCATGCAGCTGCATGTCTGCCAAATTTTCTTTGGACATTAGCTGAAAAAATACAGTAATTCCGCGAGGCCGTGCTCCAAAACGAACTAGCTAGTATGGCAGAATTTTCAGGGAGTCACACGGACTGCATATGTCAAATCAGAGAGTCCGCCAGTAAATCAGGGAGTATTTGACTCCGGACTCCCGTTAATTTCGCACCCTGCTTTGTCTAAAAAATATTTTTAAGTGTGATGCTAACTATAATAATTTAATATATAAAAAATGAATTAATATATCATTTAATACATAATTACAATTTCACAATATCAGACAAGTATATATAATAGGTGTACCAAAATAATATTTTTGGAGTTTTAACCCTTGCTCTACGACTATATTAGTCTATCTATATCTGTGGATAGAGAAACTTACTACATAATGAGAACAGCAAATATTCTTTAGAGAATGGTTCGAGAGACTAAACATTCTCCATTTTCACAGTAACATACCTGCTATTTTTGCACAATCCTTGGTCTCACTGCTACTGGAGCTTTTGGCCTCTCCAGACATTCTCGCTGACCTTTATCTCTTACTGTTTGATGTGTGTCACATGAAACACAAAATCAAATAACAGATTCCTATATGCACCCGGGGTCAGCCCTATAGACCAAAGGTCCGATAGACCGAATATTGAAAAGGGACCTATAGACCGAAGGTCCGATAGACCGAAGATTTCATAAATCATAGTGAAATACTTTACTTAATTTGTGACAAACACGCACACGCGCACACGCACACACAGGTATAGTGGGACACTCACCCACTAATCCTCCTCTCCACCCACAAGACATAAATCCCTTCTACCCTTCTCCTTCTCCACCAGCTTCTTCCCTCCTCCTCCCCCAGCTTCTCCCTTCTCCCCCTCCTCCTCCACCCCGCTCCCTTCTCCCCTCCTTCCCCTCCTCCTTCTCCACCAGCTTCTCCCTTCTCCCCTCTTCCTCCACCCAGACTCCCTTCCCCCTCCTACTCCACTTCATCCTCTACTAACCGAGATTCTCCCTTACTCCCCCCCTCCCACCAGCTACCACATTACTACCCCTTCACTCACATTCTCACCCAACAACCACCACCAGCTATCTCCACCCTCCTCACCCTTCTCAAAACAACCCACAAGCCTTCTCCCCTCCGACCTATCTCCACAACAGCTTCTCCCCCTCCTCCTCCTTCCACCACCTTTCTCCCTTCCTCCCCTTCCTCCTTCTCCACCAGCTGCTCCCCCTCCTTCCTCTCACCAGCTCTCTCCTTCTCCGCTTCCTCCTCCCTCTAGCTCGCCTTCTCCCCCTCCTTCTTCCCCACCCTCTAAAAACTACTCCACACCCCACCCCCTCCTTACTCACAACACAACAGAACTTCTCCGCTCCCCCTACGCTCCTTCACCAGCTCAATCTACATCCCCTCCTGCCTCCCTTACCTCCTCCTCCACCCCCCCACCACCAGCATTCTCACCAAATAAAACCTCCACCACATTCTCTCTTCGCCCCTTCCTCCTCCACCAGCTCTCCTTCCGCCCTTCCTCCCTTCTCACAAGCTCTCCCCCTCACATACCCCTTCTCACCAGCCTTCTCCCTTTCCCTCCTCCTCCACTAGCTCCCTCTCCCCCCTCCTTCCCTCCTCCTTCCCCAGCTTCTCCCTTGCTCAACCCCTCTTCCTCCACCCAGCTCCTTCTCCCCCTCCTGCTCCCTCCTGCTCCTTACTCACAGCCTTCTTGTCTCCCTTCTCCCCCTCCTCCTTCTTACTGGCCACTGCCCACTGCGTATTCCGCGTGCAGTGCCAGAGCCACTGCGTATTGATCGAAAATAAGCAGTTATAAACCTTGAAACAACATAAACTTATCGCTTACATCACGGACCTTCTGTCTATCGGACCTTTGGTCATATACGGACTTTCGGCTCTATGAAGACCTCTCGTCTAATAGGCTGTAACCCGAACACATAGTGATTTCGCTGAAGTCGCGAATGGCAAGATTATCTAGATGAGGACAGATTACTGACATTCTCAAGAGTATATCAGATCACCCAGCTGTGTGCTTGCGGTGGAGTGAGTCTCCACTCTCTGCTGGCTGCTGCACACACGGCCCACGATACATGTACATTTGAAAAGTTATTACAGTATCACAATCCCCTGCCATGTCTCCCCACTAATTGTATTAGCACAAACCAGTGCTGCTAATTGCGAATTTTACCCGGAGCACACATCCCTTACAGCCAGGTTGTGCTATTTATGATAATATCCACTGATAAATATCAAAGAAGCGTAAAACAGGAAGGAGATGCCGATACAACGGGAACTGCGAAACAATGTCTAGCCGACTACTAGTACCAATTACATAAACTTCCCGCATTTAATTTGGACGATTCTTTGGCAGGTATTATTGATCACTGTCCTACGTTGTTAATATAAAACAAACAGCATGTCCCTACGATGCCTCTACGTTGAGATAATGAGCGGTGAAAATCTGGTATTTTCGCCGAAAACCGACTCGATATCAGTTTTACTGCGACTGTCTCTCGTTTTGTGGACTGTATGTTGCTTCACGTCGCCGCTGTGCAGCGCTGACTCGATACGTTATTACTATAGTGTTACTACATCCAGCGTAAGGGGCGATAAATAACAAGACGTTTTTGTGGAGTAATGGCTGCGTCAATGACTGGAAATGTGAGAAAATTCGGCAAAAATACCAGATTTTCACCGCTCATTATCTCAGCGTAGAGGCATCATAGGGACAAGTGGTTTGTTTTATATTAGCAAGGTAGGACAGCTGATCAATAATACCACAAAGAATCGTCAAAATAAAACGGGCAAAGTTTATTAATTCGACTAATACTGCAGCATGGTTTCAGCATTTCACCGTTGTACGCTCTCCTTCTTTATATGCTCTTGATAATATGTGTGGATTACTTGCAGAGGCAAAATGAAAGCTTTTACACATGTCATGGGTAATCATATCTGTAGTTGGAGAAGCAAGTTTGCATATCTCCAGTAGAAAAATAAAAAATTATTAATTAATCACATCTTCAGTACAATGAGACTGGATGCAACTGAGCAATTTTTGCACTTATTTTTAAACATTGTGGACCACCATTTTTTAAGTTGCAATCAGCCAATGCAGGTACGACTCAGGGTTTTCATTATCTTTTATAGTAACAGGCCAAAATGCTTTTGCAAAAGGCCGTGGGGGAGTGCGGGCAGGGGGTTTGGGGGTACCCCCCAAAATTTTTAAAAAAAACTTAGATGCTCTGAGCTGCAATCTGGTGTATTCTGAGCTGCAGTAAACAGACACATTTGGATTACAGTATGGTCCTTTTTTCCAATTTGGTTTCTCCTGGTACATTCAGAGTTGACCAAAAGTTTCCAAATTATGACGATTTAGTAATTATAAGAGTTAGACAATTAAGTACGTAAATAGCGTTACTCAAAAACAAAACAATGCTTCTTGTGCACATAACATGCACACAAATATACTCAACTGATTTATTAGTAGTAGCTCATAAAACACTCACTTTGGAGAATAATTAGAGCAAACTAAATGCAAATAAATTATTATTATTATTTTTTTTTTAATATACTTGAGCCAATTGTAACCGGCCGAAACAGCAGAGTAGACGGTCAATTCGGCCGGTGGCCGGTTCCTAATGAGAACACTGACGACTATGCACTGGTTGTAATTGTATGTGGCAGGGTTATGTTAGTGTCTGTTCATGTCCATTACCAGTGTCAATTATCTGAGTAATTACCTCAAATAAACATCTAATGTCGCACCCCGAGCTTGATTACGTCACGAATTTCTAGCACCATCAAGGAGTATATTTATGTGTT